CAACGTCCTCCGCGGTCGCACGGTTGTCCTCGTCCGGATCGTGCCTCGCGAGGAACAACAGTGTCGTTCCCTCGGGAGCCGCGGGGTCGAGGACGGGCGGCGCCGCGAGGAGCGCCGCGAGCGCGGCCGCGCGAACGGCCCGGAACTCGAACGAGAGCCCGGCGCGAAGCGCCGTCGTCACCGCGGCGCCGCCGTCGTTCTCCTCGTCCGCGCCCAACGCGACGTGCATCAGCAGCGGCCGCGCGGCCGCGACTTGCGGCGGCGCCCCGGTCGCAATCACCGTCAGCATCAACCTCGCGGCCGCGGCGCGCGGTAATCCAGGCACCCCGGGCTGCGCGTGCGGCGTGAGGACGTCGAGCGCCGCCGTTCGAATCGCCGCAGGCGCGGCGTCCGGAAGAAGCAACGCGCGCGCGCACACCGGGAACAACAGCGCCAACGCCGCGGGCGGAAGCGGCTCTAGGTCGTTCATCTCGACCGCCTCCGTGGCGGCGTCGAGCGCGGCGGCGAGCGCGGCCGTCTCCGCGGCGACGCGCGCGGACGACGGCGCGATCGGATCCCCTCGCGCGTCCACCTCCGGCGGCGGCGACGTCCCGTCCGCCGCGGGCGCGGAGAGTCGCAACGCCGCGGCGAACGTCTCCGGGACGCCGGCGAACCCAAGCGCCATCGCGGCGTTCCCGGGGACGCCCGCGGCGGCGATCACGAGCGACGCCGCGACGTCGCGCACGACGTCCTCCGGGAGCACTTCGGACGCGAGGAGCGGTAAAATGTGGGAGGTAATCTCCGGGACGCGCTCCGCCGCGGCGCCGCGACGGGTCCCGCCACGCATGAGGGACGACGTCAGCCGCAGCCGCAGCGTCAGCCTCTCGGCGAGGTCCCTCACCGTCGCGCGCACCGCGGCTTCCTCCGCGAACTGCGCTCGGCGCGCGAGCTCTTTTTTATCCATCTCCTTCCCCGCGCCGCGGCCGCCGGCGCCGCCTCGGCCGCCCTTCGCCGCGACTTGCGCCTGCGACGGTCGCAACGACACCGCCGCGGGGGCGTCGTCGTCGCTGTCCGACCCGTACGCGGTGCGACTGGACGATTTTCCGCGCGCTTTCTTCGCTCCGGCGTTGGCGTCCGCGCGAACTTCGGGCTTGAACACGTCGACTTGGTCCGTGGACAGACGCCCGACTTGGCAGTTGTAAATCTTAATCGCCTCCGGGGTCAACGACGCGTGCTCCTCGACGTCCGCGAGCGCCTCCGCGGCGGGCAGGAGCGCGTCCAGCGCGACCGCGGGGTTCAACCTCGCGGCCGCGAACGCGGCTCTCACCGCGGCGTCGCGGTCCGACGCGAGCGACGATTTCAACCCGAGCTCGCCGGCGATGACGACGCACGCGCCCTCGACGTCGTCTCTCAACGTCATCCGCGGGTCGTCCTCGTCCGCAGCCTCCGCGGCGGCGCTGAGCTTCGCGAGGAGCGCTTCCCACGCGCCGACGCGCCTGCCGTCCGGGGCGGCGACGCGCGGGTGGTGCGCGAGCAAGAGCACGTGACCCAGAAGCCCGGGCGGCACGCTCGGGAAATCGTCCCCGGCGCACAGCGTCCCGAGCGCGGCGCCCGCGAGCCGCGCAGGGAACTCGCCGCACTTCCCCGCGGGCGCGGAGGACGACGACTCGCCCTCGCCCTCGTTCGGCGACAGCGCGGGCCAACCCCCCGGGACGTCCGCGGCGGCGAGCCAGTGACGCATCGCGAGGACGAAATCGAGCGGCGCGACGCCCGCGCGCGTCGCCGCCCTCGCGCCCGCCTTTGCGGCGACGCGCACGGAGATCGTCGGGTGAAGGAACAAGAGCGCGAGCGTTCGCGTCGCCTCCGTCGCGCTCTTCGCTTTCCGCAGCCGCTCGCCGTGCGAGGTGAGAAGCGCGCCGAGCCCGCGCGCGAGAACCTCGGAGTCTTCGAACCCGAGCTTTGAAACCGCGCCCGGGGTGAAAAACGTCGAGTCCGGTTTGATCGCGTCGCTCCACACGCCGAGTTTCATCGCCTCCGCGTCCGCGCCCGCGTCCGCCGCCGCCGCCGCGGCGACGACGTGAAGCGCGAGCGCGCCGTCGACGCGCTGGGAGAGCTTCCCCGCGCCCGACGTCGTCAGCGGCGCGAGGTGTTTCACGAGCCCGCCAGCGCCCTCCGCGAGACCGGGGTTACTCGCCAGCGCGCTCGATAACGCCCTCATGATCGCGCGGTGGTGCAAATCTTTCGCGTCCTTCATCAGCGTCGCCGCGAGATCGACGACGTCGCCGGGCAGCGGGCCGGGGAAGTGCGCGAGCCACGCGCCGAGGGCGTGAATCGCGCGCTCTTTCGCGTCTTTTTGCGCCTCCGTCTTCGTCGCCGCCGCGAGCGTCTCGCACGCGTCCGCCGCCACCGACGCGATCGCCTTCCCCGCGCCCCCGCCCCCGCCCCCGCCGGCGCCGTCCGCGAGCGACGCGAGGACGTCGAACAGACCCGCGCGCGCGTGCCACTCCTTCGGCCGCTTCGCGGTATCCATCAGCTCGGGTTTCACGCGGTTGAAAATCGCGCGGACGCACGCGCCGCCGCCGCCGCGCGCGACGGCGGCCAGGCACCCCCCCGCGGCGACCCTCCGCCACTCGTCCGCGTGCTTCGCCTGCGGCGTCAGCACGTCCGCGAGCGCGTCGACGTGCTCTCGAAGGTCGCACTCGGTCGTCTCCAGCAGCGCTCTCGTCGCCGCGAGCGCGCCCTCGGGGTTCCGCCGCAGTTGCTTCACCGCCTTTGGCAGCACCGCGTCGCGGAGCTCGTCCGCGGTGAACGTCCTCGCGAACCCGCGGAACACGTCGCTCGCGCGAGCTGGCATCTTCAGCTTCGCGTCGCTCGAGAAGACGACGGCCAAGTACGTCTCCATCGCGACCGCGCGCGCGGCGGGGAGCGCCTCGGCGGCGGCGCTCCCCGGCGGCGCCGTCGCCGCAGCCGTCCACGCCTCCGCGGCGAGGCTGGCGCTCGCGAGTGCCTCGGACGTCGTCGCCGCCTTCGCGCCGCCGTCGCCGAGGAGCTCGACGATCGCGCGCAGATGCCCCGGCTCGCGCCGCGCGAGCTGCTGGAACGCCCCGCACGCCCCGTCGCGGCGGCCTCTGCCGGCGACGACGACGCGCGTCGCGATGAGACCTCCGAGCGCGCGCGCGATCTTCGCGAACGCCGCCGCGTGCTCGCGCGCGTCGAGCGCGCCCAACACGAGGCAGCTCCATCGCGTGAGCGCGAGCCGCTGCCGCGCGCCGAGCGACTCCGGGCTCTGGGGATCCTCAGAGTCGAC